TCGGCACGCCTGGGGTCTGGCCTTGCTGACCGACAGAACAGTTACGTGGCGCAGGGTGGTGGACCCGATGATGGCCCTACGATCTGTCGCTCGCTCAAATCGGTTGGTCTATGAACTCGTTCTCGGATTTCGTTGACGACTTCGGGGCCGCCATCTCCCTCGCGCTCGCCAACTCCATGCTTGTTGGCCTTCTCTCAAGGCAGGCAGTGCTCAGGAGTTTGGAACGGTCGTGGCTAGCAAGGAAGGGGTGCCTGGAACGATGTGCTTTAACATTGACATTATGGAGACTGCCTCACGTTCGATGAAGTGTTCGCCGGGAAAACGTGGGCGCATCCGAAGTGTCACCACCAACGCGTTCTGGATGAAGACCAGAGCGCTCTCCCTTGGCTACCAGCTGGATGTCGCATTGCGTGCGTTGTGCGGCCGGCCCCCTGACGCGCTCCTGCTCAGGCTGCAAAGCTGCCCACGCTGCCCGGATGAAGGGTTTGCGCTCTTGGGACAAGAAGATGTGTCGATAATCCATTCGGCGTTGGGAACAAGAACTCATGGGGACGTGTTGCTTTACGCCCGCGGTCTATTTCGGCATCCTGGCGATGAGTTGCCGAGGGCCCTGGGAGACGGTGGTGTTTCTAATCGGGACTATGCTCTTGGGGTCCAGGGTGCGCATGCAGGGGGGGAGGCAGTGGGATTGCAGTCGCGGGCCACATGTTTGTGGACGGGACTTGTTATCGCCATTCGATTCGTGAGGTGTCCAGCTCCAGGGCGGTCGCTTTTCGCCGGGCGGTAACCCTTTGGCTGCTGTTGTTGGGCAGTTGTGGGCCCCGTGGTGCCAGGCGCCTCAAGGAGGCGAGTGTGGCGTTTTCGTTGCCGTTCTGCACATGCTCGTTGGACCAAGTGCCATATATTCTAATTGTCGGTCGGTCGTCAACCACTGGCGCCTCGCTCTCGCGCTGGTTTTCTCGCACACGCGGGCGCATGCAAGCTGCAAGTTTGGCAGAGCGGCGCTCGGCGCTTTCAGGCTGCGGGCAAAGTCGAGGCCCGCTTCGATTTAGACGACAGCTCCCTGCCGAGGAGTACTTGAAGCGAGTAGGCAACCACCATGCTGACATACTGGCCACGAGCAGCGTCCAGTGCCATCGAAGAAGGAAGCTGATTCTCTGGCTAGGAAGCGTGTGGTGGCGAAGCTAGCCGCGAAGTTGTTGCCCGCCTGGCCGCGTCTCGACCTCCAGGGCGTGCCGTGGGTCAAGCCACTCTCTGAGGCTTGTTGTTTGAGGCCACTTGCGTCAGAGAGCGCAACGTGTGGCAGTGCCCTGTGTGTCGTCGGGAATCGCGTTCATCCGTTTCCCCGGCCGTCCAGGTGTCCTGGGGCTGCGGCTCTTCGTGGGCTCAGCACGGGAAATGTCATGTCTCTTGGACACACCTCAGCCGACTTGGATTGCTCAGATGCCTGTTTCGTGCCTGTGTGCCCATGTTGTCAGCTTTATTCAACGGGGGCCAGGTTCGAGGTTTCAAGGGACGGTGCCCACCCTCTCTTGCTGCTCTGACTGAGCACCGCATGCGAGGCCGCAGGTACCAGCTGGCACCGCATTGTCAGGGGGCTCCGCCCGACGCTGGCAGGAGTCATTCTTCAGTTTGAATGCCTGCCGAGTGAGGGCCTGGACGAACCTACCCCCGCTCCTGCCGAGTCTCCTCGTCCTCCTCAGGCCAATTCGCAATTCAGTCCAGCGCAGGTTTTGCGCAGGGTTGCCGCCGAGTTGCGTGACCGCAGAGGCCTACCTCTCCTGCCCAAGTGCCCCATGACGGCCAGGCAGGCTGGCAGCGTGCTGTATCAGTTTCGTCAGACTAGCTTGTGTTGCCTTCCACTGTTGTTCTGCGTCGCGTGGTCGCCCACGCACCCAGGATTGGTCTTCCCAGCTTCTTCCCAGCTGGCAGCAGCGAGCGTTTGTTCAGTCACCCTCGCTGCAGCCGCTGCCGCCCCCGAGCAACAGTCTTCAAGGTGTTTTTTCCCTCTGGCGCCGATGTTGCAAAAAGTTATCAGCCCTGCCTCCCTCACTCCTTCCCTCTAATTCGCCTGCGCTTCATCCCAGTCCTCCTCGAGGGTGGATCGAGGCAGCGCGGATCGAACATCGAGTGTCGAGGTATCAAGGTGTCTTGGCGTTTGGAACCTCTTCTGAGCCTCCAAGGGCCTCCAGATGAGTCAGGAGGAGAGGGCGAGGTGGAAGGGCAGCGGAGGACAGTGTGAAGAACACGAATCCCGAGAGCCAGGGGTCTTGAGCTTTGGCCCCTCGGAGCCCTCCCTGGGCCCCGAGGGTCAACCAACAGCTCATGATGGCAAACTGGGGAGCCCCAGGGCACAGAGACCTCACGGGTGTTCGAGGCATCGGGTTGCTGGGGATGTTCTTCGACCTGTTTGGGCCTCTGCCGACTCCCGGGTGGGAGAACACGGAGGGACAGCAGGACCGACCAGCACAAAGATGGGGAGGGGCAGGGCGGGGGGGCGAGCGGGCGCGAGCGCAGAGCCGAGTCGGGAGTACGTGTTTTCATTCGGGTGTGGCTGACAGGGTCAAGGGAGTTGGAACGAGAGGCGTAGTGACTGATGAGCTAAGTTTCCACCACCACTACCATATGCAGGACGGGGGAGAAGGGAGGATGGGGAAGTCCTCCTCCTTCTCCTCCTCCTCCTCCTCCTCCTCTTCCTTTCCGTAGCCATTTTGGCTCAAGTTGCTGTGCGGCCCGAGCGGGCCCGTACGGCGACTAGCGCTCTCCCTGCAGGCGGGCGCGATGGCTGCCACTGGTGCGCATGCAGAGCTTCCCACTGCTCCGTGGTGATGGGCTACGACTCGGAGCTGCCGTGCGGAGGGCGCTGGTGCGGCTGCTGTGGGGCGGCCACCTGGGCGCCCCCTCCGGTGCTGGGCATCTTTCTGCACCAGTGGGCCGTGCAGGGCTACGACGGGCAGGCGACCGCGCCGCGGGTCGCGCTGGCCGCGGAGGCCGGGGCACGGTGCGGGCGCGAGCTCCTCCGCCTCCTGCAGGGGCCGCGGGCTGGCCCGGTGTGGCGAGCTGCGGCCGAGGCCCTGGACCCGGGCGGCGAGGGGCACGGGTGCGGAGCGGAGCTGCCGGAGGCCCTGGCCCCCGAGGCCGAGGGCGAGGCGGCTTGGCAGAGCCCCAGGAGGCCTGCGCGGGCGCTGCGGCCAGCCGCCCAGGCCTCGTCCAGGGCCCTGAAGAGAGGCTTCGCCGCCCTCAGCGCCGACGATGACGTTGGCAACGCGGAGGGCGGCGACGGCAGCGGCTACGGGATCCAGGAGGAGATGGAGGAGAGCCGAGTGGAGGCAGTGCCGCCTCGTGCCGAGGCAGCGCTGGTGCGGCCCTCCTGGCAGGTCGCCCCTGGCAGGCGCTGCACCCGGAGCGACGAGGTGGAGCAGGTGCCCAGGCGGCCCGCGCGCTGGGAGCTCGCGCAGCAGGTCGCTGCCGCCTCCGCGGAGGCGTGGCGCTCGCAGCAGGCTGCCGAGCGGCGCGCGCGGGCAGCGGTGGTGGTGCAACGACGCTGGAGGGGCGCGCGGTGCCGCGCCGCCCTGGCCAGCGAGGTCAAGTTTGACGTTGAGGACGTCGGCGACTCCTTCGAGCAGCGCCTCGAGGAGCCGCAAGTCGATGAGGAGGACTCCGAGGCCTCCTCCCTCGGCGACGCCTTCGAGGACGAGGGCGTGCAAGACTATGAGAAGATCGTCAAGAGCGAGCAGCTTGGCGATGGTGAGAAGCTCACGCAGGAGGTGCTGGGCGACAAAGCGAAGAAGGTCGCGATACAGCCTGGCTCGGAGCGCAGCGAGCTGGGCCAGCAGAGCGAGCTGGTGACGGATGCAGCTGGAGAGGTTGGTGACGTCGCCAGCAACGAGTCCGACGAGCTGGAGTGCGAGGAGCTAAAGCAGCAGTTCGACATGCTGAAGGCCACGAAGCAGAAGCTACAGCAGCAGTACGCCCAGCTTCGCGCTAAGGAGCTGGAGCTCGAGCTGCTGACAGCAGAGGAGACGGAGCTCGACAAGCGGATGCAGAAGCCAATGACCCGCGGCCAGGGCCCCGACGTGAAACGGGGACGGGCTGCGGCGAGGCGACGCGGACCAGCCAATGACCTGCGGCCAGGGCCCCGAGGTGGAACGGGGACGGGCTGCGGCGAGGCCAGCGCCACGGCCAGGGCCCAGAGGTGAAACTGGGACGGGCCGTGGCGCAATCGGCGGACGCAGACTCAGACGCTGAAGCCTCCTGCATCGAGTTCGGCGACGCGGTCGGCCTCGTCGTGCCGCTCGTCGGCATCAACACGTTGCTCTCCTGAGGGAGAGGCTGGGCGGGCGCCCGACCCCTGTCCGCAGGGCGAGTCTTCTTCTTCTTCCTCCTCTTCCTTCTCCTCCTCCTCCTCCTCCTCCTCCTCCTCCTCCTCCTCCTCCTCCTCCTCCTCCTCCTCCTCCCTCTCCTACATATGGTAGTGGTGGTGGAAAATTGGCCCATCAGCAGTGACAGGATGACAGGCAATCTTGGCGGGGAGAGTGCGGGCGGATGTTCCTCGCGACCGTGATCCGTGCAAGTCTGTGCGTGTCGGGGCCCTCAAGGCGGCTCTGCCGGTATGCGGCCGCGTGCAGTGTGCCGGATGCGTACGTTATGGGATTCGGGCGTTGCCGTATGAGTGGTTGCACGGCCACAGGGTGACATGTTGTGCGGAGTGAGGAGTGAGAGATAGAGAGATACAAAAAAACAAGAGATAGAAAAAGAGAGAGAGAGAGATGGAGCGAGAGAGAGAGAGAGGTAGAGAGAGTGAGAAAGAGGGAGAGAGGGAGTGAGGATGAGAGCGAGGGGCATAGAGAGAAAGAGAGAGAGCGACAGAGAGTGAGGAAGGGAGGGAACCAGTCAGGGACAAAGAGGCAGAGACGCATACGCGGTATGGCAGGCCGGATCGTGCCTCCTGTGCACCCAGGCGGTTGCAGCCCCGTGTGTTGAGATGCGCGCGGCGTGAGGAATTGGGACCCCCATCGCAGCTGCCTGCAGTTCAACGTGAAATTGGGCGACGACAGCCGGGACCTGCCGGAGCTTCTCGCCCGCCGCCCGCGCTGCCTCCGGCCCTCCCCGTCGGGCTCTCTTGTTTCCTCCGCCTCCCCCGCGTCCCTCCCGTCTCCTCCGCCCCCCCCGTCGTATGCCCTGTCCTGTCCAGTCTGCTGACACCCCTCTCAGCCCTTCCCTTCCTGCGCCCCTCTCTGCTCGTGCCCCTGCCTCTTCCCCGCCTCCCTGCCTTCCCTCCCTCGCCTGGTCCTTCTTGCCCACTCCCTCCGCCCCTGTGATCCCGCACTCCTGGGCTCAGGGTCCCATCCCTCGACGTTCACAATGAGCAGGGAGACGTGGGCCACACAGCCGCAGGTGCGACTGTCAGGCAGACGAGAATGCGAAACATCTCAGGCTGGGGTTTGTGGCATTTGTCGGCGGCCCCGGCCCCACTGCGCAGCCGTTTGTTTCGGTGCTCCCGGACGAGCGCGATACGTGCGTGGCCTGCCTGCGCGCCGCCTGCACGCCGCGGGGTCCGCTCCGAGGTATTCCGGAGGCTCAGGTCCGTTGGCGAGCTCCGAGCCCGACCCTCGCCGATCAACAATTCAGGCCATTCGATGGGCGGCGGGGGTACCCATCGGTCGTTGAAAGCGGGTGTTTTGGGAGTCCCAGATTCCAGTCTGCTTTGAGCGCCTTCCTGCTTCACTGATCGAGTGGCTTCACCTTTTCCGTCCTCCTCAGGTTGCGGGCGGACGCCCAGCCTACTTTCAACGCCGTCCTGCTTCGTGGTTCTGCCTACCTTGTCCGACCGATGGATAGGGTTCGGAACTCGTCGAAGACGTCGCGGAGTCCGAGCCCGGCCCCCCTGCCTCATTCCGATGAGAGACGCCAGCTGGTCTGGGGCAGGGCTTTCGGACGTCGCCACCCACTGTTTGGAGGGCGCCGCGGCGATCGCGGCAGGCCCGTCCTGGGCAAGGTTCTGTTTGTCAAGGAGTGGCACGCTCCTTCCTGGTCTTAAGTCGGGCATGTCCCTCTACAGGAGGCAAATTCAAGAATCGTAAGAAAATAGGCTGGGGATGATGTTCTGAGTATTGTTTGACCATCTTTGGGCATATTTTGACAATTTTTCCAATTTCCGCCCAACATCGCCTGTAGGGGGACATGCCCGACCTAATCCTAGTCACCTCCCTCGGCTCTGCGATGCAGACGTGGCTGGTGATCCACCACTCGGCGACAGAGAAAGGGTTGGCAGTCGATGCCCAACAGGGGGCAGTCCTGTCCTTGCGTCGGTGAGTGGTCGCTTACTGCGCAGCCAGCAGGCAGTGCCCCCACGGGCACCCCGCTGCAATGCCGCCGCAGCGCCGCAGCAACCAAGACCAAAGCCTGTGCCAGAGATGGAGCGGACCCTGCAGCCAAGGCAGGGGCAGAGAGGGGAGGTGCCCAATAGCCAGAGCTGGGATCGAGAAGTGGGCGCCAGAGTTCGAGCCAGAGCCACAGCTGAGGCGCAGCGACGGTGAAGCTGGAGCAAACTTTATACGACAATGTGCAGCGCCAAAGCCGGTGCCATGGTCACTGCCAGAGCGAAGGCGAATGAAGCGCAGTGCGAACGCGAACGCTGAAGGTAGATGCATCGTTCAATGGGACATGTTTAGCTACTCAGGTGAAGCCAGTGATAATCGTAGACGTGCAGATAAGTTTGGCGCCATTGCCACATATCGGAGTGAAGGGGAAATTGCCATTCATTGTCCCTGGGTGCGTGGCTGAGCTGTGAATCCGCTGCGTGGGTTGTTGTTGTTGTTGTTGCTGTTGTTGTCGTCGCTGTTGCTGTTGTTGCTCTTGTGTGGTAACCAGTGCATGTTTCAATGAATGTGCTTTTCCAGGGGCTCGCACCCTGTTTTTTTACAAGGGAAAGCGAGGTGCCACCAAACTGTGTTGTTGGCCCCCAGTTTACAACAGCAGCAGCTCCTGTCTGACACTTTCTCAGTTTATTCCCAAATCGCGCTCTCGCGCGGGACGCTTGCAATGTATATAGGGATCGTGCTCTCGCGTGGGACTTCTTCGCAATTGATTCAGACGCCGCGCCCTCGACGACCTGGTGGCCGAAACGTAGCATGATCAGTAGAGGCGTAGCCTTTGAAGTAGGATCAATCGGATTTTTGTTGTACGGTCACAGGTGTATAGTATCGGTCGTGGGGCTTGTGCTGCGTCCAAACGTAGGATCAGTGGGGCATCTGCGTCATCATGCGTAGTAGCGTGGCTTGTAGGATAACCGTATGAAAATGTAGTAGTTGATGTGGCAGGTCTGTGGTGGGATTCGTCGACGACCATACAGTCGGATTTGCATTTGGGATCGGTAGCCGTGTTTGTGGTAGGATGAGTGATGAACATTGTGGCCTGGTCTATATGACGGCCCACCGTGGGATGTGCAGCCTTACGGACGGACAATATGTCGTAGCCCTGGTAGTGCACTGTGTAGCTGGGTTGTTCGGAGTAGCGGCATTAAGACATGCAAGGATGTTGGTCGTGGAATACGCAGTGGGACCAGCAGTACGGTACACAGTGGGGTTGATATTCGGGTGTGCAGTTTTAGCGTTCGTTGGATGTGTCGTACGACCAGCAGAGGGCTGTGTAACAGAACACATGTCAGGATGTACATTGTGAGTTGTGGAGGGGAATGTCGTGGTATTTGTGGGTATGGCATGTAGTACCGCTTGCACCGGGATATGTATTGGGCCCCAAGTGTAGATTCCTTGATACAGAAACCATAACAAAGGTTCTTTCGCCAGACACCCTAAGTCTGAAATCCTTAGCGACGAGCCCGTACAACGGATTTCTCAAGCCAGAACCCTTCCCACATAATCAAGAGAGAGGTGTCTTTCCAACGCAGCCGTGATGAGGCTCATTTGATAAGAACTTAGCGGTAATGAGTCCTTTTAGGGAGCCCGCCCCAAAGATTCCTCAAGAAGGACCGGGGGCTTTTTAAAAGTAACGATTCCTTATCAAGGGTTATACTAAGGCGTTGAGATTCAGGCTCCCCCCCTCACCATAGAATGCATTTCTAGCATCGGTGTTTGATAATGGGTTCTGCATCGATTGGTTATTTCGTAGCCGGTCCATTATTCGGGTTCCTGACTAGGGGTTCCTCAAGAATGATTGCGTTGTATCGCTCCTTCGGTAAAGATGACATGGTGAAGGACTCCATACGAGAAGGTTCTTCCGTCAGGAACATGTAATGAGGATTCTTCAGTAAGGATCCCCCAGGAAGGGCTCTCCAATAAAGATCCTTCGTCCAAGGGTTTCTTATTGAGCGTTCTGTATCAATGATTCCTTGCCAGGTAGTCTGCACGCAGGCTTTCGCAATGAGAATTCTTCAATTTGGGAGTCCTCCCGACTGCCTCCTCCTTAAGGATTGCTTACCCAGGGTTTCTTACTGTTGGCTCCTCCAATGACGATAGCTCACCGAGCGGTTCCTTACAAAACATGGCTCTTTACCAAGGTGTCTTTCCCAAGGATTCGTTATACCGAAGGGATCCGTAGCACAGGTGTTTGAGCAAGGGCTCTTGACAACAATGAGTTGCCAATAAGGCTCTTTTAGTAAAGAATGTGTAGTACGGAATGTTTACCAACGGTTCCTTAGTCAAGGTTCCGCAATAAGCTTCTTGTACTTAGGTTTCTTCACCAAGGAGTCCGTATTCAGGAACCCTTTCTCCCAAACGCCACGCATCAAGCAATCATTATCATGGGCGTTTTGAACGAATTCCTTTCTAAGGGCTGTTTAGCATGGATTTTCTGGAAAGGGTTCTTTCGTGAGGATTCCTCCGTAAGAATCCCTGGGTTCCTCCGGAAGGGTCCTGCAGGGCTTTTTTTTGTATGGATTCCCTAATAAGAAGTCCGGATTAAGGATTCCCCCGTAAGAGTCTTCTTTGGCAAGGATGCTTAATGCGGAATCCCTCGTACGGGTTCCGTACAGTTAAACCGCATAAAATGGAGGGTCAACCTTCCCAAGGGTACTCTTGCATCCTTGTCCCGTCGGCCCATCCATTTCCTTGGCCAGCCTCGTTCGGGAAAAATAAGCATGGCCCTCCAAGGCCCTTGCATCCTTGCCACGCATCCTTATGATACGGATTGACTGTCGTAAGGATGTAGTAGTATTGGTTATCCAGTGAGGATCCCGTCGTAGCAATGACTCCTTACGAAGGACTCCTGAGTAACGACTCGTTTCGAAAGACTCGCTCTATTATGGGCGACACGCTTGTTACATTTGGGAGTCGTGGCGTTTCTTGAAAGGGTGTTTGCGAAACCTCTTTTTTCTGATTCCTGGGGGTGCCGCGTTGCGTCGGGTCGCGTCGCGGGGGAGGGGGTCGGGTGACGGGACCGCAGTCCGAGGTTTCTGCCACACGGGGGATCCTTGGGCAGCGACCCGTGGGCATCGGGCCGCAGTCCGGGCCTGCGCTCTGTCGTCGTTGCCGCCCCCGCCACCCACCCGCGACCCACCCGCAGCCCACCAGCGACCCACCCGCGAGCCACCTTGCGACCCGCACCGCGGCCCGCCCGCCCGCGCCCTCGCCCTTATCCGCACCCGCGGGGTGCGGCGCATGTGTACCCACAGCACGGGGGCGACATAGATCGACAAGCCGTGGTGAGTGCGATCCCCACCCGTGGGGGATGCCCAGACCTGACTGAGCCGCGTGCTGGATTCCAACCAAACCGGCACAATGCAGCTGTGCGCCTCTGTCGTGTCGTCCTTCTTCGGCGGCAAGCGAGGGGGGAAAGTCAGAAGGAGAAGGCCTTCTCAGAAAGTTCGGAAGTCCCCCGGCCTTCTGAGAAGTCTTTCAAGCCCTCCCCAGAGATGGATAAAACCTTTCAGTGTCAGAAGACGAGAGGGCATCTGAGACGTCCCTCCCCCTCCTGAGAATGCTTGTTTCTTCTCACTTCGCCCCCCTCCTCGTTCGCCGCCAAGCAGGAGCAGTTCCAGATATTCATGAACGGCGACCCGGCGCAGCAGCTGTACCCAGACCGCGAGAGGGCAAACCCGCACGACGGCGGCAAGGTCATCAGGGAGGGCCGCGGCCACTTGAGCAATGGAGCCGATGCTGATTTCTGCGCGGCACGGTTTCGGACAATGTTTTATGTTGCATCTTCGGGGGAACTCGCCTGTCCCCCAAATTGGTGTTTGTTCTTGTGCCAGACGCGGGCTCGATGCGGACTCGACGCGGATTTGGCGTGGATTCGACGCGGATTCGGCGCTGATTCGATACGGACCCGACGAGGCTGACACGGATTCGACGCGGATAGGACCGCGACGGGACAGACAAGGCCCCCCGAGGATGCGGCATTAGATGTTGCGATATTAGGATCAGGGGTGTTCGGATCGCGTGTCGCACTGCCGGTTCTGGCCCATCTCGAAGAAAAAACGCCATAAACATAAATCTGTGGCGCTCCGCGCGGACCTCCAGAAGTTCATGTTTCGGCGCGACACGCCATCCATCGCGTTTCGGCGCGACGCGCCATCCACGTCCCGGCAACTGAGGGTCCACGTCCCGAGCCTTTCCGAGCCTCCCGGCCCGCGGAGCGGAGCGACACACCGTCCGCTTGCAAGGCGTAGCGTATCGCCGGGGCCGTCGCCTCGACACGCGAAGCAAAAGTTCCCAGTTGTACGTGGAGCAGTTCTTTTATCCCCTGACAGTAACGGGCCTGATTGGGGGGGGTGAGGCGGAGGCGGAGGCGGAGGCTGAGAAGGAGAGGAAGGAGGAGGAGGAGGACGAAGAGGAGGAGGAGGAGGAGGAGGAGGAGGAGGAGGAGGAGGAGGAGGAGGGAGGAGGAGGAGGAGGGAGGAGGAGGAGGAGGAGAGAGGAGGAGGAGGAGGAGGGAGGAGGAAGGGGGGGGGGGGAGGGGGGGGGAGGGAGGGGGGAGGGGGAGGGGGGGGGGGGGGGCGGTCACGTTGCGTTTCGCGCTGGCGCCGTCTGGGACTGCCTAGGGATGGCTATCCAGACGGCGCCTGCGCGGATCGTGTCGTGACCAAGAGGAGGGGGAGGGTGGTGGGTTGGCCGGGTCGGTCACAGGCGCCATCGCGAATATTTGTTTAAAGGTGCCAGACGATTCTTGACGCGAGTATTTGTTTACAGGTGGCAAACCGAAGATAGGGTTCTGCTTGAGGAAGCCATGAAGTCAACCATAATTGCCTTCGCGGATCTTTCGACATGGGAGCCTTTTGGCAGCTTCTTTTGGCCATCTTCGGGCCATATTGAGGACATTTTGAAAGCCGTGGGGACATTGCTGGGGCCCTCTTGGGGCCCACTTGAGGCCGCGGGGCCTGGAGATCTCTTTGGGCCATCTTGAAGAGGCCGAGATATGTCAGTCCGAAATTCCGTCTTGGTCTGGGACGGGGGTTCGAAAGCGGCCTCCAGGTCTTGCCTTGGCATGTGCTCTGACCATAGTCTCGAGAAGAGTCCACCCCGGTGGCGACGAGAACGCCCCATGCGCCCCCCAAGACGAGGAAAATATTGCAGAACACAGTGGCCCTCCCAGCCTGGCCGCGGCCCCCCCGCCACGCTGCGGCCAGGTGCGCGGGCCCGACGATCGTGGCGCGGGCAGATTCTGGACCATCGGCGACCACCCCCTCGACGAGGCTGCCGCGGCCCCCGCGGGCACCAGAGGAGGAGCAGGAGGCGGAGGAGGCGGAGGAGGAGGAGGAGGAGGAGGAGGAGGAGGAGGAGGAGGAGGAAGAGGAGGAGGAGGAGAGGAGGAGAGAGAGGAGGAGAGGAGGAGGAGGAGGAGGAGGGAGGGAGGAGAGGAGGAGGAGGAGGAGGGAGGAGGACAAGGAGGAGGAGGAGGAGAGGGGAGGAGGAGGAGGAGGAGGAGGGAGGAGGAGAGGGAGGAGGCAGGCCGTACGCAACGAGGGGGGGGGGGCGATTCATGGGGGCTCAGTCAAGGTGCACCTCGTGCGTGCCCGGTATGGGGCCCTTACGTAGGAGGGCCCATCTTGGGGCCCACAAGGAGCACGATAGGTGCACGCCCATTTGATCGCCCCTCGGAAGAGAATCCTCCTCCTGCTCCTCCTCCTCAGCCTCCTCCTCCTCCTCCTCCTCCTCCTCCTCCTCCACCATCACCTCCTCCCCCTCCTCCTCCCCCTCCTCCTCCCCCTCCTCCTCCGCCTCCTCGTCGTCCTCCTTCTCCTCCTTCCCTCCTCCTCCTCCTTCCCCGCATGGCCTTGCCGTATGTTGCTTCGGCGATTCCCACCGAAACCTCGGGCGTTTGTTTCCGACGGTGCGCGCGCCTACTGGAACGATGCACCCAGGGCCAGGTAGTCTCCGCCAGCGCGACGGCCGGGCCAGTTCGCAAGTTGCCTTTGTCCAAGAATCTAACAGCCCCAGGTTGTGGTACGAGCCCTGGGGCGAAACACCAAACCCCAAAACGCGTGGTGCAAGCGAGACCCCCAAAGAGGAGGACGAGGAGTAGGAGAAGGAAACTATGTTCTCTTCGCTTGGCTTCTGCCTCAATGTAGGAATTGACGCTATGTTTTTTCTGTTCTGTTCTGGACGGGCCAGCGTGACGGCGTGATGCCTGTCACGTTAGACAGGAGGAGGAGGAGGAGGAGGAGGAGGAGGAGGAGGAGGAGGAGGAGGAGGATGCGGAGGAGGAGGGGAGGGGGGAGGGGGAGGGGGAGGAGAGGAGGAGAAGGAGAGGAGGAGGAGGAGGAGGAGGAGGAGGAGGAGGAGGAGGAGGACTCTTTGGACTCTTTGGCCGAGCACCGAGACGTGCGGGGGGGAGAGAGCGGGGGGGAGAGAGAGGGCGGGCCCCAGCGGCGCTCCGCCGCCCGCCGCGCCCGCCTCCCGACGCGCGGGAGGGCAGTCGGGGAGAAGACCCCCCCAGACTGCGGGACCGCCCCCACGAAGGCCCGCAGGCCCACCAGAGGGGGCGGACGGCCAACTAGAGGCCCAAAACCGCGGAGGACGAGGGGGGGGCGGGGGGGGGCAGGGGCCACCACCATCCGCAGTCTGGAAAGACCCCTCCCCTACCCCCTCCCTCAGCAGTCCTCCATCTTCTTCACCATGAGCTCCCAGTAGCTGATGACGTCGCGGAGCAGAGCCAAGAACTCCTCGTCTTGCCCGTGCTGCCCCGCCGCCTCCTCGAGGGCCACGAGCTCGCCCGTGATCCTCAGGTTCTCGAGAGCGTGCTCGAGCACCACCTCCTTCTTCAGCTTCTTCTTCGCCGTGCCCGTTGGGAACTCCACCTCCTCCAAGAACGCTTCCTTCGTGCCCTTCTCGCGGATGATCCCCACCATGATGTCGTTGGCGAGCCGTCGTCCAGCCAGGACGCGCTCCATCTTGGCGTAAACCGCCGCGTTCTCCGAGTAGAGGCGCTGCCACTTGTCCTCCACCAGCAAGGGAAAGGGCGGCACCGCGGGCAGCTTCGCGGCCTTCCCGATCCAGCCGCCAACGTGCTCCGGGGAAGCGCTTCTGGAGCACGTTGGACGATAGGCCGGCACGCCCAACATCGAAGGGTCGCCCACACTCTTCGCCAGCTTCTCCTCGTCCGAGTGCATGCCCAGCTGCTCCTCCAGCCGCGCGCCGAGCTCGGCGTCCCCTTCGTCCTGCACCAGGTCGACGTCCTTCGAGTACCACTCGTCCAGGGCGTCTTCCGACTTCGCGTTCTCCTCGTCCACCTCGTCCGAAAGCTCGAAGAACTCCACGGAGCCTGTGAGGCCGACCTCCAGCGAGTCCCCTCTCGGGGCGTTGGGGACCTCCTTGGCCTCGCCGCCCAGCAAGTCGATCACGCCACCTCGCGCGCCGGCGACCTGCTCCTGCGACGCCTCTTCCTGCACCTGCCTCTCGTCTCCTTGTCCTTCTTGCTCTTCTTCTCTTTCTTCACCTTCTTCTCCTTCATGCCCTTTTCCTGCTCCTGCGGGTGGCTGTCGCCCGAGGCTGCCATGGGCCTGGCGCCAAGCCACTCCACGGGCGGCCGTCCAGCAGCCGCAGAGCTCCGCATCACCGTCGTCTCCTTCACCTCCTCCTGCGGGCAGGGCATGGAATCCCACACGCCTGGCGGCGCGTCCAAGATCGCGAGGCGCGGTGCCTGCGATGGCCGCGGCGCCTGGGGCGGGCGCAGAGGCGGCGGCCTGGCCTGCGACTCCACCTTCGCGTCGTCCGCGATGGCCGAGAGCCTGCGGGTCGGCCTGGCCTTGGGAGGGATTGCCGCCTCCCCCGCCTCCTTGCGGCGCGGCGGGCTGCGCACTGGCCTCGCGCCCAGCGCAGCTCGCACCGCCGCCCCCACCGCCGCCGCGGCGACCTCCGCCGCGTAGGCCGCCTGCTGGTGGGGCGGCTCCGCCGCCGCCTCCGCCGCCGCCGTCGCGCGCCACGGCACGGAGGCTCGCCATGACATCTGAATGGCCCGAGCAGGCGCAGCCGTTCCCAATCACACCTGCCCAACGCGGGGTCTACCCACGGGGAACGGCCAGGAGGAGGAGAAGGAGGAGGAGGAGGAGGAGGAGGAGGAGGAGGCGGAGGAGCAGGCGAGCCCCGAGATCCAGCGTCGCGAAATAATTGACACAAATAGGGGAATCACGACCCCAGACATGATCGCGTCGCAAAAGAATCAGGACGGATGTCGGGGAACGGAGCCATGGACTCTGTCTTTCTGCTGCATGTCCCGAGCCGGGTTGATCTGTGAGGGCCGCGGGCCCCGAGGCCGCGCGGAAAATCGCCGATAGTGAGAGAAAATCGCAGGTGAGGAGGAGGAGGCTGGCTCGGATCTCAGGTGAGGAGGAGGAGGAGGCGGAGGAGGAGGAGGAGAGAAAAATCGCCCCGAGGCCCCGATCTCAAGTGAGGAGGATCAGGAGGAGGAGGAGGAGGAGGAGGAGGAGGAGGATGCTGGCTTGCCTGCCGCCCTCCTCACCCTTCCGCAGGCCTTCGGAGGATTGCTTTCTAATCCTTTCGGGAGGCCTGTTTGCGAGACCTGGGGCCATTAGAAATGGACGTGGGCAGAGGAACTACCACCGCGGAGGGGGCCGGGACCTCTGGAGCTTGCGGATTGTAAGAACCGCAGAGGGGCATTTATCAAGTTAGCGCATGAAGGTTTCGGAGGCTCGCTCGGATTTATTGGGTGTAGGCTGGACACCCCGTGGCGGCGTTCCTGATGCGCTGTATCTGATCCGGTTCTTGGGTCTCTGACCCAAGAAATCAGCCTGGACCTCCAGCATGCAATGCTTGTGTGTGCGTGCGTTTCCCTCCGATCGGGACAATGGGCAGCGGTCTGACGACAGATAAGCAGAGGAGGATATATAAGAACATTGAAATGCACATCTGTTCCATCGTGCGTTTAGTATCCGATGCCAGGAAGCATCTGAAAGCACAGCGGGTTTCAGCGATGCGTGCCGCAAGCGCTGTGTCAAGAGTGTGCTGTATCCTCCGGTACCAAAAATATTGAAACACGCAACAGTTCTCGAAGTGTTGTGTGATGTCCACCACTTGTGTTCCTTTATCCTCTTGGTGTACCCTGCACAAGGAGTCCTGCTGCAAGGCCGCCACAACAGCAGGCTGATTTTAGAAGGCCTCAACGCACGGAAGTAGTGTTGCAATGCCGCTGAGCGAAGGAATCCGTTTGTTTGTTGCCATGTGAGGAATAGTTTTGCAAGGCCGCCGCAATGCCAATGTTGAAGGAAAGGGATCTTTGTATGAGGCCTCCACGTGAGACAATTGATCGTTAAGGCTACCACATATGGAATGACACTCATACATGGTTGCAGGGACGAAGGGGCGACAGGAAGGCGACGAAGAGAACACGCACGAAGGAACGCAATACCAGCTGACGTAGCAAGAGCAGTCCCGAACGAGCAGGCGAGATAACGCCGCCGAAGGGGCATCCAGTGCCCCCCCCTGGCCCGAAAGGGCCGTGCCCCTGGCCCTGTAGCTTTGCACTCTGTGTCCGGCCCCCTCCGGCCTCCGGGGCTCCTCCGTGGCTTCTGGGCCGGCCGGGCCGTCACGCTGCCACTCCGGGTGCAACACTTGCCCTGGGGGAAGCCCTGAGGCTCAGGACCCACTTGCACGAGGCCCCCCTCATGCCAAGTCCTCCCCAATTTGCATCCTCCTCCCTCCTTCCTCCTTCCTCCCCACTCCCGTTCGCCCCATGTCCCTCCCGTCGGTCCCCATCCCCTTCATCCCCCCTTTCTGTTGCAGTGGTATTCCTCCTGGGATCCCTCGGCAAATTCTACTGAAGTGTTGCTCCCGCGAAGACGTCCCTTGAGTTGCCTCCGAAAGTTTGCCGAAGAATCCGATTACTGGGCCCTGACAAATTCGCTTCCGTCTTGCGTGGCGTTCTCCGCTCCACCCATGTCGAAACGGGTATCCGAATAGTGCGACGGAGCTCTAGAAGTGAAGTAAAAGGTTTCATTTGATTGTGAAGTAGCAGTTCCAAAGGTGGAGTAAAAAACGCTCAGAGGTGAAGTACACCAGAGAAAAGCCCCAATCAGTGGATGGTTTTCGCTGAGGAGGTCGACCAGCAACCCGGGAGCCTGGGAACCCAGAACCCACCGAAATCGGCCTGGAACCAATGACCGGGAACTCGGGAACCCGGAACCGGGAACCTGGGAACCCAGCTTGCTACCAAATTCGGCGGGAATTTTCGCCAAATCTTTCAACTTCCGCTAGGACCCCTTCAGTGCAAGCACTGATTGGGGAGATACAGTCGGGATTTTTTCTGGATAGCGTGTCTCTCCACCGCTTCTGGCCCACCACGCTTCGGCGCGATTGTGTATCAATTTCCTGATGCCCAAGCTTCGACGTCCCGAGCCTTTCTGAACCTCCCGCCCCTCGGAGCGGAGCGACACGCTATCCGCTTGCATGGCATGGCGTGTCGTTGGGGTCGCCGCTGCGTCCCCTCCAGTGGGTCCAGGGAGCCACAGGTATCTCCCCTCTGGGGCAAGCCGAAGACCCGGGATTCCCCTTGCTCGGCTAACTACCCATCGGTCGTTGAATGTAGATCTTTCTGGATTCCCAGATTCCAATCTACTTTAAGCGCCTTCCTACTTCAAGGATCGAGTGGCTTCACCTTTTCCGTCCTTCTAAGGGGGCGGACGGAACCCAATCTATTCTCAGCGCCTTCCTATTTCATGCTTTTACCTGTTTCTTCTGACCGATGGATACGCGTAAGAGTGACCCTTCGCCAGAGTGACCTTGGGTGCGGGCGGTTCCGCCAGCACTGGCTGGTGCGCTTGGACTGCGTGGCCTTTGCCTCCCCCGCGGCCCCCCGAAGCCGCGCACCAGAGGTCACCTCTGGCCCAGGGCCACCTCCTGCGTGCAGCCGCCTCGTGGCCGTACGGCAGGGTGGCGCCGCGTTGACGCGGCGGTGACCCTGGCGCGGGCGTGGAAGGTTGAGAACGCCGCCGGGGGCCCAGAGAAGGCCGACAGCGAAGCCTTTGCGGTATCGGGAGTCTGCGATCGTTCAAGGCCCAGGCATGATCGCGTCGCAAAAAAAGAGGACGGGCGGTTTTGGCAAATTTTGGCCTCGAGGGGCCCTCGCCGGGCCTCGGGACCGTCAAACAACAACTCAGGATGAAACATCGGCCCTGGGGAAAGGGTCTGGACTTCCAGGGACGCCGTCCTGAAAAAGTCAGGGCGTTGCATGTCTGGGGGTGGAGCGATCCACGGGATGTCCGAGACCATCGCAGACGTCATCGCGACGCGAGCTGGCCGTAGGTCCCAGATGCCATGCAGGGATCCTCAAGCAGTGACGAGGCGCCCTGGCTCGTAGACAGGCCCACCAAATAATGCCCTAAAAACATATTGTGGTCTGCACGGCATGCTCTTAGAACATTTCTGGCTGATATTGTCTTGTCTTGACACATCGGGCCTATGCTCTGAGAGCACTGTCTTGTTTTCCCAGAACCTCTTTCGGACTCTAAGAATTTGTCGTGGTGGTCCTATAGGAATGCAGGGACAGTCGGCCCCTGCCCAAAGGAAACGAGTGAGACGCCGACATGCTCGTATTTCGAGCGCCTTCCATCGCAGCAAAACAACTTCTTGAGGTCCGCACTGATCTCGCGCTTCGGCGCCAGGCCGCCTCATGGCAGCGCCGCAAGCACCGACCCGAGAAGCCCACGCGAACTTCCGAAAGCTTCGAGCAGGGCATCGAATGCGGATCCCCTGCCGACCCCGGGGAGGCGGCCGCCGGCGCCGCGTACGAGGTGCGCCTGTTCATTGGCAGGCACGGCCGCGGCGTGAAGGCGGGCGGGTCGCCGTGGCCTCCGGGGGCACGGCGGGGCGCGGTCGGCATGGCGGAGACGCGGAATTATTGCACGTTTTTCCCGGAAAGGGCATAAGCCCAGGGTTCTCTTTTAGTAGGTTTACCCCCGGGTTTGACTTCAGGTGGGCCAGCGAATTTCTTTATCGAGGTCGAGGTGGGCCGGCGAATTAAAATGTGAGGATGTCTCGAGCGAAACGCTTGATTTTCAGAATTTGTTGAGGATGTCTCGAGCGACACGCTTGTTTTGTCTTATAGATTGTCCTCTCCTGGGGACCTGAATTCAGAGGATCTCTCAAGTGAAATGCTTGTTTTCACGTGCCCAGGTCTTGAGGATGTCTCGAGCGAGACGCTTGGTTTCACGCCTCCAGGTTGCCCAGACAGATGTCTAGCATGAGGATTTGTTGAGGATGTCTCGAACCAGAGGCTTGTTTTCACGTGTCCAGGTCGCCCAGGCGGATGTCTAGCATGAGGATGTGTCGAGGACGTCTCGATCGAGACGCTTGTTTGCACGTGTCCAGGTTGCCCAGGCGGATGTCTAGCATGAGGATGTGCTGAGCACGTCTTGAGCGAAACTCGTGTTTTCACGTGTCCAGGTCGCCCAGGAACAGCACAGCCCTCGGCACGGTACATCAATATCGATACCCTTAGCATTGAAGCCTGGCATGTTGCCTGGCACGTTCCGCGGAGCATCCCGTGGCGAGCCCCCCTGGCACGTCGCGCGGTGCACGTCCATTGGCACGTTCCGTAGCGCGTCCCCTCGGCACGTCCCGCGGTGCGTCCCCCTGGCACGTCCCCTGGCACGTCGCCTGGCGCGTCCCTTGGGACGTTCCGCGGCGCGTCCTCCTAGCATGTCCCCCTTTCGATTAGCTCTGGGGCAGCTACCATCTGCTCAGGCAGCTCGAGCTTAAGATCTAGATCAGTTCGGTCAGGACTCGGATGCAAAGAGGACTCGATCCACAACGCTATATCGAGCACAATCGCGGCATGGCACATCGCAGTTCAGCACGGCCCAGCACAGCACAGCCGTTGGCACAGTACATCAAGATCGATACACTCAACATTGCACCTTGGCACGTTCCTTGGCGCTTTCCGTGGCGAGTCCCCCTGGCACGTCGCGCGGCGCGTCCCCTGGCACGTCCCGCGGCACGTCCATTGGCACGTTCCGTAGCGCGTCCCCTCGGCACGTCCCGCGGTGCGTCCCCCTGGCACGTCCTCTGGCACGTCGCCTGGCGCGTCCCTTGGGACGTTCCGCGGCGCGTCCTCCTGGCATGTCCCCTCTGTCGATTATTTTTGGGACAGCTACCATCTGCTCAGGCAGCTCGAGCTTAAGATCCAGATCAGTTCGGTCAGGACTCGGATGCCAGGGAGAACTCGATCCACAACGCTATATAGAGCACAATCGCGGCATGGCAGATCGCAGTTCAGCACGGCGTAGCACAGCTCAGCCTTCGACACAGTACATCAAGATCGATACATTCAGCATTGCATTTGCCCGTCACCCAATCAGTTGTCTTTGGAACGTTGCCATACCTTACATTTCTATATTCCTTTCCGGGTTCGTGGGTCGATCATGTTTTTTGACAGGGATGGTGGGGTGGGCCGTATCGGGTTGGCCGCGCATGCTCCACATGTGAAGGCAGACCGCGTTTTGCATTGTTGTTGACAGTGATGGCGGGTGGGTGGCTCTCATGTGGTTGGCATGGTTCTGGGTTGGCCGCCAGCCGGATGGGGAAGGGGGTGTATGTTAATAGGGAGCAGTGATCAACCCCTCCCCGAAGGGGAAGAAGGGGTTTGGAAGAGAAACCGCTTTAGACCACCTACGCCCAGAGGGCTGGTGGGATTTCATGGTGCCTCGTGTTGTTTTGATGCTCCCCCCCTGCCCCCCCTCCCCCTGGGCCGCACACACGCCTTCGGCCATGATTTGCGAAACCCCCTCTTGCACGCCCCCCTCTTGGACGCCCCCGATCGTGAGCCGTGCTCTGGAAGCCACCTGGGGCCACCCATGGGCCAGGGGGCACCTCCTGGCAGCCCCCGACCCCTGTCCGCCTCGCCGCCGCGGTCCTCCTCCTCCTCCTCCTCCTCCTCCTCCTCCTCCTCCTCCTCCTCCTCCTCCTCCTCCTCCTCCTCCTCCCCCTCGGTAGCCATTTTGGCTCAAGAGCCCTTTCTGGCTCCGCCGTGTGTCGCTGGGCGCGCCGCCTCGGGCCGCGCTCGCCGCGTGGTCATGCCGGGGACGCTGACGCAGGAGCGGCGGGGCGCGGAGGAGGCGGCGCGCGGCGCCCTCCTCGCCGCGCACGCCGCTTCGGGCCTGGCTGCTGGCCACTCCCCCGCGGGAGTGCGCCTCCTGCGGGCGGCCGAGGGCCTCCTGCGCGCGGCGGCGGCGAGCCTTCGGGCTCCCGCCACGCCGCCCACGGCTGCGCCTGGCGCTGCGCACGCCATGCGGCGGCGGCGGCGGCGCGGGCGCGGCGGCAGTGGGGCTGGTGCCGCGGGCCGCGGCGCGCCTGGCGCGGTGGCCGACGAGGCGGGCGTCGAGAGCGACGAGGACGGCGACGCGCCTATGGTCGGGGCGGCGGCTGGCGGTGGCGGGGGGGGCCGAGGCGGCGGCGGGCTACCTGGGCGATGGCCGGTGGGGGCCGATGCCCGAGGGCTTCGGCTCGGGGCCTCCCCTGCTGGCGTTCGGTGTTCGCGCTGGGCGTCGGCCTCCATGTGGTCCTCTTCTGAGGCCCGCCCGCTGGACGGGCTCGTCGTCTCCCAGGGCGTACCCCTACGGGCGGGCGTGTGGGAGGCGATGAGTTCGCCCAGCCCCCGTGGACGGTCCCGTCGTCTCCCACGCTCCCCTTCTGCCCCTCCTCCCCCTCCTCCTCCTCCTCCTCCTCCTCCTCCTCCTCCTCCTCCTCCTCCTCCTCCTCCTCCTCCTCCTCCTCCTCCACCTCCACCTCCCCCTCCTCTCCGCTATCTCGCTGCCGCGCTGCTCTACATCACCTGAATAAGGCCGTGCCCGCCTCGCTCGACCAGGCAGGCGCGTGCGTCCGCTGATCAGTCAGAGTACAGATCGGATTTCCTCGTCTTCGGCCAGGGGCCTCCCGAAGGGGCCGCTCCGTCACTAGCCAATCGGATGCCTGCGGGGCCCGGGTGTCTGGTGATGGAGGGGCACCCTCGGGTGAGCTACGGATCCGACCTTGATTCTAAGATCTTTCTTTGTTTTCTGGGCCGGGTGGACGCCTCGGGAGCCTGTCTGGCACACAGTGCCGTGAGGTTTCGGCCCCATGGGGCCAGAGGGGTGTCCCCCCCCAGCCCGCGAGTGACATTGCATCTTGCGTACAGCTTGATACCAGTTGATACCAGCGTGTCGAGTGCCGCGCAGCGCGCGTTACCCGTAACCTCGTATAGTAGATATGCGATTGCTCGAGGTAGTAGTTCGCACGAGCACCGCACCACGTGTATAGCTGCGTCACCCCCGCACACGCGGAAGGCCGAGTCCTATCACATCCTATCCCCCTCCTCCCCCTCCTCCTCCTCCTCCTCCTCCTCCTCCTCCTCCTCCTCCTCCTCCTCCTCCTCCTCCTCCTCCTCCTAGCCGTTCTGGCTCAGGCATTTGGAGGCCTGAGCTTGTGAGCACGTCTTCAGAGCGGCTCGTGCTCACGAGCCAGGGCAGTACGACGATCTTTCAGCAGAAGGTAGGCTGTGCGGCGAGATGGCTCCTTCTCCTGATTCTGCATGGTCCACCATCAAACCCCGTTGGTTATGCAAGGACTGCAAGCACGAGAAAACAGGCAACGCCTGGATCAACGCGGGCAGTCGATTGTTCTGCAGCCTTTGTAAGTGTCACAAGGGGTCTTGCTTCGGGGGCAACGTCCTGCCTCTGCAGCCCTCTGTCTCGCAGAGTCAGGCCCGCGAGGGCACAGGCCAGCACCCTTGGAGTGGAAAAGGACGCAAAGGAACCAACGAGGTGGATCAGCTTCGGGAGAAAGTCAAGCGTCTCGAGCAGCAGATGCGCAGCAAGTCCGCCGCTGACAAGCAGCCAGGCGATATGGACATCGATCTCGCGGCCGACTGTGACGAAGGAGGTAACTGCAGCAAGCGGCTGCGGGAGATCGAGAAAGAATTGCAGGCGGTCAGCCAGTTCGCAGGCCCAGCGTGGGATTCCCTGCGCAACGAGCTCGAGTCTGAGCGCACCAAGCTCAGGCACCAGGCCATCTCTAGCAAGCCTGTCCATACTCGCATTCACTCTGTCACAAATCAAATACAACAGGCTGAGGCTAAGCTCCAGCGAGGCCGAGAGTCCCTCGAGAAGCAGAAGCAGCAGTTGGAGGAGCTCCAGCGCCAGATCGAGGAGGCCACCCGGGGCCTCACGCTCCAGGAGGAGCGCATCCAGGAGCTCAGTAAGCAACGTGCTGAGCTGGTGGCGCAGAATGGTGGTCATGCTGGAGGGCAGCCTGTCCAAGCTCTCCGGCTGGACGTTACCAAGCTGCAGTCGTCGATGGGGAACTTTGGCCTTTCGCCAGAGCAAGCGGAGGCGGCGGCGAAGCAGTTGGCGACGGACCTCCCAAGCCTCATCACCAACACGCAGGTGGTCGCTCTCGAGGGTATCCTCTCAACGGCTCCTGGTGCTGCAGGTGGTCCTCCACGTCCTCGTGATCTCGGCCAGGGCCCCGGCCTATGGGAGCCCGACAAGGAGTCCGAGCAGGACATCCGCGGGTACCTGGACGGCCTCGGCCTCCTGCCAGGAGGAGCTCCTGAAGGGTTCGTTCGCCAGCGAGCTCGCGATTTGGCTGCCAGAGGTTTCTCGCCATTTTGATGGCCCCCTGCCAGGCCGGCGAACCGCCAGCGTGGTAGGGGGCTCCACCGTCCCCAGCGGGCAGACCTCTTGCGAAGCTGTTGGCCGCTTCGTTCTCACGTCCTCTGCCTCGTCCTCTCTTCCCCGTTTTGTGTCGGACGATCCCGACGAGCGGCTTGTGCCAATTCTTGCTGGCCAGGATCTGG